TGGCTCATTTACTGTCATATGCTGGAGTATCCATTATGAACTTCAAGTACCAAATTCGAGACAATTCCGGTGAAAAATGTCGCTAAATTGAACGAAATACCGAATACCGGGAGGTACCGTTATATGGGGACTATACGAAGACGTGGACCTGCACAGACAATTTTCTGTCATAGGCTGGAGTAGCCATTACGAACTTCAAATACAAAATTTGAAATAATTCCGGTAAATAATATCGCTAAAATCATCAAAATACCGAATATCAGGAGGTACCGTTTTATGGGGGCTATACGAGGACGTTGACCTACATGGCTCATTTTCTGTCATATGCTGGAGTATCCATTACGAACTTCAAGTACCAAATTTGAAACAATTCCGGTGAATAATGTCTCTAAATTAATCAAAACACCGAATATCGGGAGGTACCATAATATGGGGGCTATACGAAAACGTGAACCTGAACAGACAATTTTCTGCGTCAGGCTTTAGTATGTATTAGGAACTTCAAGTACCAAATTCCAGACAATTCCGGTGAATAATGTCGCTAAAATGATCGATATACCGAATACCGGGAGGTACCGTTATATGGGGACTATACGAAGACGTAGACCTACATGGCCCATTTACGAACTTAACCTGCCTACTGGCAATATAAACATGTGTGCAAAATTTTAGCCTTTTATCTCAATTCGTTCGAAAGATAGGGCGATTACAACAGACAGACGGGCAGACAAACGGACGGACATCGCTAAATCGACTTAGAATTTTACGCTTTTCAAGAATATGTATATTTTTTTGGGTCTGGCATGAGTATTTCGAGGAGTTACAAACGGAATGACAGAGATAATATACCCTCCATAGTATGGAGGAGGGTATAAAAAGGAAGTCTTATTATAATTCTTTTACATCCGAGGAGGTTCAGGTCACTTCAATCGACACGTTGGCCTTAGAGTAGCTGATCTCAGAGGCCACTCCTATAGAGAGGCTGGTCACAGAGGTCTCTGCCATAGGATAGCTGGCCTAAAAACCACAGTTTGGAAGAAGTTGGTTCCAGGGGTCATTACTATAGAATAACTGGCCTACTTTAGAATAGCAGGCCTCAGATCCAACTACTTAAGATTAATATGTCTCAGGGGCCACTAGTGTTCATGATGAGTGAACAACTCGGTTCTGAGAACGACTACCCTTAGAAATGCTATATATGTTTATATATGTGTCATATCCCAAGAATGACCTAATTTCCCCTCCCTTATATCAACAAATATATCTCAATTCAATCAACATAACATCCGTCACACAGAATAATCTTATCAATTAAAGAAAAAACGAAAATAAAAATATCTTTTAATTCCGATATTCCACAATCGAATTATAATCTTTTCGTCTTTGGTAGCGTGCACACCCACACACATACACTCGAACTCCTCTCTCGTATTCGTATACGCCATGAATTTTAATTTATAATTTATAATGAATTTTTATCAATCAGGCATTTCATTACAGGTATCTCTTCGCCTCAATCAACAGTTCTGCATTAAGAATTTATAATGAAGCCGCGTAATTTGCTTTCGGTTCATACAAAATATTTACATAAATGATGATATTTATAATTTAATCAAAAAAAAACGAGAGAAGAGAATACCTGGTGTCCTGTTACACAAACGCACGCCCGCACACACACTCACCACTACATCAATACTCCATCTCGCTGTCATAAGTCACAGCATCGGCTGTAGCGAAATATGTATTTTATACCATTGACATTGCTGCTTAATAGACTGACTGACTTCCAGTCATAACAAGTTCGGAGAATGTGTATGTGTGTTTATGTGAGGAAGTGTGAGGTTTCATCTGCTGGCCATCTCATCATCATTCCTCGTCTCTGTTTGTATATTCTCAGATCCTCATTATTTCTTCAGGATTCATGGCGTGTACACGTGCCCAGTTAAGAATAGCATAGTTAATATGCGAAAATGCATGCACACAGACACACATACATGCTCACACACACACTCTCAGACAATGGCAAGATGATGTGTGAAACGAACGAGTAATCCATGTGAGATATGAAATGATTTAAGGCGAAAGGGGAAAAGTGATTTGGGATGACAAGAAATGGGATCAGATTAATTGAAAACAATTTTGTCACGAAGCACGAATACTGCTACCCTATTGAAATATCCTCCTAAGCCTGCTACTCAAGAAAATTAGTCTCCGAAGAGAGATATACCAGAGGGTCTCTGAGGCCAGCTACTCTATAGGAATGCCCTCTGAGTCCTGCTACTCTATAGGAGTGACCTCTGAGGCCAGCTACTCTATAGAAGTGGCTTCTGAGGCCAGTTTCTCTGTAGGAATGGCCTCTGAGGACATCTACACTAGAGAAGTAGCCTCAGAGGCCAGCTACTCTGTAAGAGTGACCTCTGAGGCCAGCTTCAGTGTAGGAGTGGCCTCTGAAGCCAGTTACTCTAGAGAAGTAGCCTCTGAGGCCAGCTACTCTATAGGAGTGACCTCTGAGGCCAGCTACTCTATAGGAGTGGCCTCTGAGGCCAGCTACTCTATAGGAGTGGCCTCTGAGGCCAGCTACTCTATAGGAGTGGCCTCTGAGGCCAGCTACTCTATAGGAGTGGCCTCTGAGGCCAGCTACTCTATAGGAGTGGCCTCTGAGGCCAGCTACTCTATAGGAGTAGGCCAGCTACTCTGGAGAAGTAGCCTCAGAGGCCAGCTACTCTGGAGAAGTAGCCTCAGAGGCCAGCTACTCTGGAGAAGTAGCCTCAGAGGCCAGCTACTCTGGAGAAGTAGCCTCAGAGGCCAGCTACTCTGGAGAAGTAGCCTCAGAGGCCAGCTACTCTGGAGAAGTAGCCTCAGAGGCCAGCTACTCTGGAGAAGTAGCCTCAGAGGCTAGCTACTCTAGAGAAGTAGCCTCTGAGGCCAGTTACTCTGGAGGAGTAGCCTCAGAGGCCAGCTGCTCTGCAGAAGTAGTCTCAGAGGCCAGCTACTCTAGAGAAGTAGCCTCTGAGGCCAGCTACTCTAGAGAAGTAGCCTCTGAGGTCAGCTACTCTAGAGAAGTAGCCTCTGAGGCCAGCTACCCTATAGGTGTGGCCGCTGAGGCCAGCTACTCTAGAGAAGTAGCCTCTGAGGCCAGCTACTCTAGAGAAGTAGCCTCTGAGGCCAGTTACTCTAGAGAAGTAGCCTCTGAGGCCAGCAACTCTAGAGAAGTAGCCTCTGAGGCCAGCTACTCTAGAGAAGTAGCCTCTGAGGCCAGCTACTCTAGAGAAGTAGCCTCTGAGGCCAGCTACTCTAGAGAAGTAGCCTCTGAGGCCATCTACTCTAGAGAACTAGCCTCAGAGGCCAGCTACTCTAGCCTCAGAGGCCAGCTACTCTGGAGAAGTAGCCTCTGAGGCCAGCTACTCTAGAGAAGTAGCCTCTGAGGCCAGCTACTATAGAGAAGTAGGCTCAGAGGCCAGCTTCTCTAGAGAAGTAGGCTCAGAGGCCAGCTTCTCTAGAGAAGTAGGCTCAGAGGCTAGCTTCTCTAGAGAAGTAGGCTCAGAGGCCAGCTAGTCTACGGAAGGAGCCTCAGAGGCCAGCTAGTCTAGGGAAGTAGCCTCAGAGGCCAGCTAGTCTAGAGAAGTAGCGTCAGCGGCCAGCTACTTTAGAAAAGGAGCCTCAGAGGCAAGCTGCTGTAGAGAAGTAGCCTCTGAAGCCAGATACTCTAGAGAAGCAGCCGCTGTGTCCATTTACTTTAGAGAAGTAGCCTCTGAAGACAGCTACTCTAGTGGACGAGCCTCGAAGGACCTCTACTCAAGTCATGGCCCATAAAGCCAGTTATTCTGGAGAAGTAGTCTCAGGGTGTAGCTACTCTAGACCTTCCGGACTAAAATAGGACTATTTACATTATCATTTCTGGAGTCAATACATCTTTCCTTCCCAGAAATTAAAACCTCATCACCCCTTTTCACCAACACCCTCCCGTGGCAACATATGCCCTGTGTGTGATTGTGGAAATTTTCCTACCTTTTGTGATTTTCACAAAAGTTTTCTTCTTTGCATTTTTTTGCGCTTTATTCCACTTCTGCGTTTTTTTTTTGCTCTTCTTAATTCCAAATAAATGATAATAATAATTGCACACAAAATGTACACATGTTTCTTATAAGTGATATGCATTTATTTTAACAACAATAACAAACAGCTACCACCCGCTGTTGACGTTTGCAGTGTTGTCTGGTTGCAAACAGCATGACAGTCAGTCAGTCAGTCAGCCAACCAGCCAGGCAGTCGACTGTTTGTTCGTTAAGAGACTCATTAAAAATTATTGTTGGAATTTAAATGGTATGCAAGTTGTTAGTGTTGTTGTTACTGTTGTTGGAGTTATTTTGCATAACACTTCCAGGTTTTACAAAAGATTTCCATAATTTCAGACAGTTCACTTTGAATTGTCATTAAAAATTAGAAAAGAGCAACGAGCAAGAGGTGTTAAATAATTTGCGAACTAAGTGCTGGGCGGAGGCACTGAGTATTAAAAAAAAAAGATGTTGGGAGTGTTTAGGAATAACAATAGGAAAATTATATTAAATAGTAAGGGAGAAGAGGAAGAAAGAGTAAAGTTTTTAATGTATGAGGTCAATGTCCTTTTGGGTGCGACAGAAAAAGTGAAGAATTCTCGGTAATAATAGCTGCCACGGCCAACATTTTTATGAAATAATTTTATAGACCGTACCATCAATTTGAATAAATATTTCATGTATATTCAGGATTTTTCACCTTTTACCAATAATTTTTGGTGTAAATTTGTAAATCTAAAACTTTTTGGGATACATAATTGGTCTAATAAAAATGCATTTCAAAATTTCATTTTGAAAACATTTTGCTTTACATAATTTTTAAACAATATAGGCTTTGTAATTTCAAGCAAAAGCTTTATTCGATATTCGAATATAGCAAATCTTAAAAATTATTTGATTTAGAAAAATTTGATTGCAAATACATTAAAAATTGGGGAAAAACATTATTTTAATAAATCACAAAAATATCAAATCCTATCTTTTTTAATGTGGAAAATATTTAAAGAGCTCACAAATGGATAATCAACAAGAAGGGCATAATTGTTAACCCTCTTGGAATCTATTGGAATATTCTCAAAAAAGGAATCCTAATCTCCAACACAAATTTTCAAACATATTGTCGTAAGTAAACTATAAGTTATAACTGAAATCGCATTTTCGCTACTAAGATATTTATTCTTACATTTAACGTGTCAGGTAAGCAAGAAATCAAACCTGATTAATCATCCTGCAAGGAACCCCGATTAAAAATCCTGACGACATCACGGAATTTAATGGTTAGTCCAACTTTTGTATATGAATACGTTTGCCTAAGTTATATAATTATACCAATTTACATCTGTCCTGGACGAATTATACAAACATCTGTCAGTTAAGCTGATAGATGTATACCCTCAGCCTCAGATATATATATATATATATATATATATATATATATATATATATATATATATATATATATATATATATATATATATATATATATATATATATATATATATATATATATATATATATATATATATATATATATATATATATATATATATATATATATATATATATATATATATAGAAATAAAGGGTATAGCCTAGTCGAAATAACGCTTTTTGACCCTAGGTCTCTTTGGACCAAATCCGTTTCAGAACATTTGCAGTCGAACTTGTGATGTCCGCCCGTACGTCCGTCTGTCTGGTTGGCTGGCTGGTGCGCACGATAGCTCTCGTAGGGAGTTACCGATTTGATCCAAACTTGGTGCATCGTAATATAATTATCAAACTTAGATCGAGTTCGAAGATGGACAATATCGGTCCACTCCTTCTGGTACCTCCCACACAAAATTTCAATATTTTAGGGATTAAGCCTGACCATTTTGCAATAAAAAATATTTTCAAGACAGATAATTTACTGCACAGAAAGAGAAAGGACAGCCCGGTTTTGCTCCTACTTTGCATATCTTAATATTTGCATCAGGTGCGAAGGGTCTAAATTTTGAATAATTATAACTCTCATAAAATCTGATGTATGCTTCCGGTTTTCTTCAAATTACACACATCATAAAATTTTATTAACCCACGGTCTGGCTTGAAGATGAGATATTTTTGTCCACTCCTTCTTGTATCTCCATGGAGCTCATAAAACCTGGAAATTAACACCCGATTCCATTCAGACTTGACACATCTCAATATTTCCATCAACATAAGATCTGTCATAAAGATGGTGGAGATCGGAAAATTGCTTCTGGTACCTCACCCACATTGGGTTCTGCGAATCCCTTCCCAGAAAGGGTCACAATTTTCAAAATTTATGTATATTTGTCATACCTTCCGAAAAAGTCTGCGATTCTTCCCAAAAGGACTTGGCAAATACAGGGTGAGATTAAAAAGCTGCAACAAAGTCAAAAACCTTAATTTTTATTATTTTTTTAATGTTATTGAATGAAAGCAAAAATGTCGGAAATAGCATGAAATTTTGGAATAAGTTTAGGTTTGTTCGAATTGGTCACCTTTGGCACGAATTATGGCCTTCAAACGGCCAATGTTGCTCTGCGGTATATTGGCCCATTCCCGGCGAAGTGCTTGCTTGAGGTGATCGTCACTTTGGTATTTTTTAGTGCCAACCTTGCTTTCCAAAATACTCCAGACACAATAGTCCAACGGAATGGTCGCCATTGTGCGCGGGAAATGAAACAAAGTACCTCATTTTATAACCATTTTTGGGTGGCGAGTACTGAGAGCGATGGTGCTGAGTCCTATTGGAATGTCCAAGGTTTGCGGCCAAAATGTTTGCGTGTCCAAGGCTTTAATACACTCCCAGAATATTTTCGCTATAATGTTCGGCATTTATTCTAATGCCACTGTCGATTAATACGAGCGGAGAACGACCATCGGCTATTATGGCGGCCCACATCATCACCATGGCCGGCGTTTGAGTTCTGGTGGCCAACCGAAGGTGCACATTTTCAGCTGACCTCTTTGGCAAGTAAACACGATCATTTTGTTTGTTTACAAACTGCTGGATAACGAATGTTTTCTCATCGGAGAAAACCAAATTCGGCAGTTCACCACTTTCGGCCAAGCGACGCAATTCTTTAGCACTTTTGAATCTACTTTCTTTCTGTTGCGCTGTAAGTTTATGCACTTTTTGGAATTTCAGTGGATTTACTCCGAGCTCATTTTTCAATATTTGCCGAATGGAATAATGCGATATGTTCAGCTCACGAGCCATTTTTCGGCCACTGCAACGCGGGTTTCGATCAAGTCGCTTCTTTACTTTTCGAACCATTTCTGCTGATGTTGCTGTTTTCTTCCATCCACTTCCTGGACGTCGGGCTACGCTACCAGTATCACGGTAACGAGCGATGGTACGGGACACCAAAAATATATTCCCATTTAAATGCTGGAGTGCTCTAATGATAGCCACCTGTGGTTTTCCAGCCAAATATAAATACTATCACGCTTGAATTCCATCACGAATAACTTTTTTTCTGGAAGATTTTCACCGAAATTCTTTTGTACGCTTGTAAACACTATAATGAGCTGTCACTGGAATAATTTTAGCAGCTGACGGACGAGTGACTTAGAAATGATAGCAGTCTGAAATTGGTTGCAGTTTTTTTCTGAACCGATTTTCACCAAATTTGATGTACTTGCTTCTACACTGAATTCGGTCGGATGTGCCAAAATTCAGGTCATTTGGATTGATTTTGGCTATTTAGAGCATAATTAACCCGAAATCGTTTGAAGATATATATTGCCCATAGTTGTGTAGGCTATAAAAATAGTGAGAAAAGTTTTTGTGCTCCTAATTGAAGATTTCCGATATAATATAGGGTCGATTTAATAGAAAATATAAGCCTTACATCTCTGAAAACCCTCTCTTATTCCACTGTCCACTTTCCTCCGGGAAATTCCCGCTGAATTTTATTCCAAAAAATTGTACGTCGATGTGCTTTTGGTGATGGGTGCGCTTTTAAATTGGTTTCTGACGAATGTAAGGATATTTGAGCATTTCTGACGGTATGGCAGTACATTGTGGAACCTCCTCCTCCTATATGTGTTTACATCTGAGTGATGGATGTCTGTGTGTGTGTGTGTGTGTGCCGGCTAAGTGGTATTCACATCCATTTTACAACATTCGGAGTTAAATAAAACCGAAATCAACGTCATCCTGTGTACTTGGCACATTCATTTTATGAGGCCTTCCGTTACGTTTCGGAACTGCCGGTTTTTTTTTTTTTTTTTTGCCCACTCTCGTTCTCTTCCCCATCCCATCATTCGTTTGCTGCATACATTTGCTCAGGTTTTATTTTTTGCTTTTTGATTCTGTGATTTTTTTTCGAATCGTTCTGCCATTTTTGCAATGTTGCTCATAAGTGGTTGTTGTTGTAATTGTTGTTGTTGCTGCTGTTGCATATGTTATGACTGCTGCAGGAATAAAGTGACTCAAAAAAAAAAAAAAAAATACGGAAAAAATGTGCAAAGGACACAAAGTGAAACGAATCCAAAGGAGCAGGAGAGAGAAACGTGCTCTACAATCTGCTCACATTATGCACTTGAAACGGAGGAAAGCGTGAAGAATTTAAAGTAAAGTTAGTGTTTCCTCACCCAGCCACATCCCAGCTTTTGTGGGGGACGACAATACGACGATGGCAACAGCATTAACACTTGGACTGCTGCATCATCGTCAGTTTCATTCGACAAAAATCATCATCATCTGTAGCAGCAGCAGCAGTAGAAGAAGCAACGTAGGGCGGCATCATTTTGGTCGCGCTTGTTGATGTAGCCATCACACGACATGACCACGCCAACATGTTGGCGCATATGTTCGGCAAACATTCACACACACACACACCCAGACACATACCTACCCACTGCTCACCCACAAAGGCTTGTAATTCTCTTCATTATGCACCGCAATCATCGTCATCAACATCGTCCGATTCTGTATCAGCCTTGTCGACGTCATCATAAACACCACCAACACGACAGGATGTTACAACCAGTTAATGACGACAGTGGGTTTGGCTCGGTTCGGTTTGGTTGAATGAATCGTGGCGGTGAATGTGATGGCGGCGGCAATACAAGACCAAATGTTATTTTTTTTTCTGTTGGTCTTCCGGAAGTGGTCAGAATCGAAAATATGTTAGGGTTTTGTAACCATCGTCATTGGAGAAAATTTGTGGGAGCTGTTGAAATTGAATGGAATATCAAAATATGGACAACAATTATAATTGTTTAACACCTACATCGGCTATATAGAAGGACTGGATATATTAACAACATAGTATGGAGGGTATATTAAGTTTGTCATTCCGTTTGTAACACCTCAAAATATACATTTTAGACCCCACAAAGATATCGCATTCCGATTTAGCGATCTCCGTCCGTCTATCCGTCTGTGGAAATCACTCAAGCTTCCGAACGAATTGAAGTAGATTGATAAAATTTTACTCAAATATATATTATATCTGCAGGAGTTTTGGTGTTGAAAATGGGCCATGTAGGTCCACATCTTCGTATAGCCCCCACATAACTGTACCTCCCGATATTCGGTATTTTGTTGATTTTAGCGACATTATTTACCGGAACTATTTCAAATTTAGTATTTAAAGTTCGTAATGGATACTACATCCTAAGACAGAAAATTGTCTGTGCAGGTCCACGTTTTCATATAGCCCCCATATAACGGTACCTCCCGATATTCGGTATTTTGACGATTTTAGCGACATTATTCACCGGAATTGTTTCAAATTTGGTGTTTGAAGTTCGAAATGGATACTGCAGCCTAAGACAGAAAATTGTCCGTGCCGGTCATTATCTTCGTATAGCCCCCATATAATGGTACCTCCCGATATTCGGTATTTTGATGATTATTCATCGGAATTGTTTCAAATTTGGAATTTGAAGTTCGAAATGGATACCACATCCTAAGACAGAAAATTGTCTATGCAGGTCCACGTCTTCGTATAGCCCCCATATATCGGTACCTCCCAATATTCGGTATTTTGATGATTTTAGAGACATTATTTACCGGAATTGTTTTAAATTTGGTAATTGAAGTTCAAAATGGATACTACACCCTAAGACAGAAATTTGTCTGTGCAGGTCCACGTCTTCGTATAGCCCCCATACAACGGTACCTCCCGATATTCTGTATTTTGATGATTTTAACGTCATTATTCACCGGAATTGTCTCGAATTACGTATTTAGAGTTTGTAATGGGATCTACAGTCTGTGACAGAAAATTGTCTATGCAGGTCTAGGTCTTCGTAT